GGAGCAGCCGAGAGTTCAGGCGCATGTGCAAACACCTCTCGCTCTGCGCCGCGGGCTGATTGGCTCACTCGGGAGAGGGACGTTACGGCGAGATCATAGGCTAGCCAAACTCTCTCAATATATGGCTCTGGCTCGGATGTCACCATTGAACCTGCCCAACCTGACGAACCTGCTCTGGGTGAATAGATAGATGAATATACGGCTACGTCACTCGAATAGGACGGGCTTCTGGGCCATCTAGCCCACTGATCTCAATGATAGAGATCAGTGATCTAGCCAGTGCTTCGTTTTTAATTCTGGGACATTATGAGTTTCCTTTGATGGGCGACACTGGGAACTGAAGGGGCCATATAATAAATTTTTAATATGTTTACTAAAAAAAAGTCAGTAGATTTTCTTGTTTTTCAGTGAATCAGTAGACCCGGAACGAAATCAGTAGATCTACTGATAAATCAGTAGACCTGGCAACACTGCATGTCGGATTATTTGTGGCTTGGCTGGCTTGGCGAAGAAACGGCTTCAAAGTAGACTACAACGTTCCAAATGGGTTATAAAAAAGCCGTTTTAAAATGTCAGTCAGGTATTTTATTACTAGCATGATTAGCTGTCATTGTGATTTTAAAATCTACCGTATATAAAATAATATGTTGACTCTTTGAAGTAATGAGGGCCCCCCCCACCGCGGACGAGGCTATCAACTCTTGCAGAAGCGACCGCAACAGCCCCGGATGCGCGAGCTACGTCCTCCATGTCGTCTTCTTCCCAGACATTAAAAACATGTTTTGAAACATCGCTCACGTTATGAAACAACGCGATTATACTGTATCCAGTGGCTACACATAATGTTAAATGGTTAAGGAACCTTCCAGTTCGTTCTATTTTAGTGTAGGATGTATATTTCGCAAACGCAAAGCGAGAAACATAATACACCCGAAACTCGGCTGCAAGGTAGCGTTCCCGCACGAAGTTCGGATCCAGCTTGGTGCACGTGACCGCGTCTCCACCAATACGGAGTTGGCGGCAAAAGGAAAAGGAACGCGATACTCTGGCTCCGCATATACATAGGGTGCCCACATATCTGTCTGTCTCAGGGTGAAGACATCCATTCTTGCCCTGAATGTGCCAGCGCGTGACGCTCTGGCGCACTCGGTGCGTGACTTAGGCGGTAAAATGGCGTCTCTGCATTAGCCAAAGCTACGTGCTCAAGCTGAGTGACACCGGATTGCGCGCACTTCAAAATGCATAAAAAAAGAATGGGCGGAAATATGGCTGAAATGTCACCACTCAAGTAAAAGCGCGCGTGTGTAGGAAGTCACTCTACCTATACAGTTACTCTAGCGTGCGCTAGCCCACTCGGCTACCGATCCTACTCGGCTACCATTACAGACAAATGTCCACTGTTGGCGATGTAACTAGCAGTGTACTCCTTCTTTCACCTTCTATTTCTTGCAATGCAGGGTAAAGTGCAGGGTGTCGCTGCTATCCACCTATCGATAAAACACCTCGATGTGTTTGCGTTTGTCTTGCAAGAGCGTCAAATGCTCCAGTGCACAAGGCCCGTTTCACAAGCGGACCTTGGAAGCAAATGGCGGCGTAGCACTGAAATGAGCGGCTTTTAGATGCGAATGGCAGCCGAGCACCCGCTCGCGGCACGTGTCTTGCGCGCTTTTACAACAATGGTTGGCGGTACTTGAAAGCGTGAATTTTATCAATGGAATTTACCTATCGATGGCTCTCCGCCCCGCGATAGCTCACCACAGCTCCACATCCTGAATCGCTTAGTCACTTTCGCAAGCGCGATCGTCACACCCTTCTAGCCCACCATATGGTGGCTATAAGGGGATGTGTGCCGAATAGAAAATCGATAGCATGCCACTTGTTCATGACGCCGGTGGCACCGATGATGATGATGATGATGATGATAATTTTATGGCTGTTCCCTTTGAAGCGGGCGGTTTGAATAGAAATCAGACCTAGCCGAATAAAAACGGAGAGAAAAAAAAAATTTCACTACTGTTGCATTCTTCGCCACCAGTCCTCCAGCCTCCTTTTAGTCCTCTCGACTGCGTCGCTGCACTTCCAGCTGGGCTGCAGTGCCACTGCAGCGCGATTTAAGTCCGCACTGGGCCAGCACTCAGCCTCCCTGCCTGTGTCCCCAACTCGGAAGCCGAGGGCTTCTGCCAGAAATTGTTCGTGTGAATGTGCCTCGTCTAGATGCAGCCCGTTGTTTGGCGCCTGGCCCCAATCCACCGGGTGTCTTGGTACGAGACTTGGGCAGGAGAGCACAATATGCTTGATAGTTTCCTCGGTTTCGCCACATGCCCGGCATGATGTTGATTGTACCTGTTGGTCAAAACGCTGCCTGTACACTAGCGTTCTTAGCCCTCCCGCACGTGCTTCAAAAAGCAGGCGGCTGCCCAGGCTATTGTCATACAGGGTTGTCTCTGTCGATATTTCATGTTTCCAGCGGTTGTACACTTGCAGGGTTGACTTTGAGCGGGCCGCCTCCGACCACTGCACAGCCTCTTCCTCGCGCACACTCTTCCGCACCTCCAGTTCCCACTTTTGCTCTGTAGTGGCAGCCACGGGCACAGTAAAGAAGCCATATTTCTTTTCCGGCTGGTACAGTCGCTTTCTCCACTTTGTCTGTATCCCTGTCAGGTCTGTGTACACAAATAGTCGTTTGGCCCACCGTCCTCGGTCCATGAGTCGCAGACGCCCGTCGTAGCCGATCTTGCTAGCTGCTTCTCTGGCTTCAAACGATGACCATCCAAGATCACCTTGGACAGCTTCGTTCGCCACCATGCCATGGCAGCCTAGGGCCTGCCTCCCAACTTCGCGCTGCCGGCGCTCCAGAATGTGCCTCACGTCTCCAGGAATGCACACAACAGCATTAGCAAACGTTAGGCCAGGGACCATGGCTGCTTTCCAGAGTTCCCTTGTAACCAGAAATCGATTGCAGCTCCATAGGTTACGCTTGCGAAGGACACTGGTGTTTCGCACGGCCGTCTTTCTGAGGTGGAGATGGTGTTCCGCTAGGTAATCTGGCTTATTTGTGAGTAGAATACCCAGGTACTTATAGGTGCCTTGCAGGGGGATCCGTTCGCCCTTCAGCACGCAGTGACCAAGACGCGGCTCTTCAGGCCCGGCTAGTTGCACGACTGCCGACTTTTTGCTGTTGAAGCGAAGGCAGCGCGCATCCGCCTCTTCTACACAAATGACTAAAAGCTGCTGTAGTGACTCTACACTTTCCGCTGTAAGTACGATGTCATCCGCAATGGTGAGACCTGGTAGCGTCCAGTTCACTGGCTCTCCTTTTTCTAAATGGGTGAAAGAGAATCCTACCCCCGACTGGAGCAAGCGCCTCTCTAGCCCCGACACATAGAGGATATATAAGAGAAGTGAAAGCGGACAGCCTTGTCGTAGACCTCTTGTTACAGTCACTTGCTCCGATTTGGCACCATTCATCTCTGTTGTCACCGCGTTGCCCGAATACAGAGATCGGACGAGGGCCAACCACTGCCGTGGCATGTCTAACTGTTCTAGGTGCTGGAGCAATAACTCGTGAGGTACACTGTCGTAAGCCTTCGCAATGTCAAGGATGCAGCACAGGAGTTTTCTTCCTTCCTTGCGGGCGACCTCAATACACTGGGTGATCGTAAAAATGTTGTCCTCCAGTCGGCGACCCCGACGGAAGCCTCCCTGCAGCTCCGTTAACACCCCATTCTCCTCTGCCGCTGCCATGTAATCTTTCACTATATATGCGAAGGCTCTGTAGATGGTGGAAGTCACTGTAAGTGGCCGATAGTCCTGAAGATGTTGTCGGTTGCCTCCCTTCTTAGGGACCAAGACAACCCGACCAAGCCTCCAGTCTTGGGGCACGGGTTCTGAGCCACTGAAGATTGCACTGAAGATCTCTGCCATCTGCTGCCTTGTCTTCGTTCCCATCGATTTAAGAACCGAAGCCCGGAGACGTAGACGTCTTCAAATGCGCGAAGGCCCGTAAGACTGTCACCCACCCGATGACCTCCTCCTGCCAGTGTTCTGCGGTGTGTAGCGTCGGTTGAGAGGATGTATCCTCTTCGGTGGTAAAGTTCTCCCTCAGGTAATCCGAGAGGTGGGTGCCAAGGTTGCTAGGTTCCTCCCCTGTGCTTTCGTCAATAATGGCTGCTTTCTGGTCTCTACCATCCAACGTTCCGAGGTAGGCCCAGAACTTCCTCGGTGCGTCCCTGCTGCTGCATCTAATGTCCCGGACAGTAGCCAGATCCGCAGTCCTTATCTTCTGTTGGACCAACTGTTTAGCACTGTTTTTCAGTACTTGATAACTGTGCCATTTTTTGTCAATCTCGTGTGTCTCTCCTGTACGGAGCGCCATTCGGTGATGCAGGTTAGCCTCCTCCTGCCGGGCATGGATGGCTGACTTGACCTCACCATCCCACCATCTCTTACGTCGTCTGCGTCCAGCGAGCCTTTTTGGTGCGTGTCGCTTAACCGGTACCCTGCGCCTGGTGCCATCGGGCGGCGCACAATGGCACCAAGCGTAGAAGTGTGTCCTGCATGAGCACGCGGAGTACGAGACGCTCTCGTGCCCCGTGACGCTTCATGCCATACCCTTTCAGCAGAAATGCACCGGTATCCTTGCTACAGCGCCACTTTTTCGTTACGTGGAACTACCCGTAAACGCGGAGCGCTCGGTACACCTACCCATATAGCCACCGTACCCACCATAATAATAATGACCGGACACGTGTCACGTGACTTCTGCCTAATGAAGTCGAGGCAAATCAAAACATACTGGACCAAAGCAAATCGGTTGTCGACAAAGAATGAAAATGCGATACTCTGACACAGTATTCAGTGGCACTAGCCCACCCTAGCTCGGGCTCCTAGCTTTTGTGAGGTTAATTGTAATTGCAACTGTAATTTATTTGCATAAAAGATAGGTGCGCGTACACCTATTTCTTGTAAAGCGACAACAACCTCAACAAAGAAGAAGTGGTATGGACGCGCGAGGAACCACGAAGGCGACAAAAGTGCTCTTCCGCACGAGACCACTGAGGATGCTGGCCGGAGGCGACGACATCTCCACAGCGCCCCCTGTGACGTCGCCCCGTCGTCTCGAACCATCTCGGGAGGAATTGTGCCGCTTCTGCGCTACCGGCGGCGACCAGGAGGAGCTGGTGACGCCGTGCTGCTGCGAAGGCTTCGTCTCGCAGACGCACCGGTCCTGCCTGGAGAAGCGCATTCTGCAGGACGGTGTGAGCCGATGCTACCACTGCAACTTCCGCTACCAGTACAAGCTAAAGACCAGGTCTGCCTGCCACTGGTTCAGGTCGCCCGAGTACCGCCACGACGTGTTTCAGCTGATCGCTATGCTGGTGCAGTACATCTGCGACACACTCGTCATCGGGATCGCCGTCTTCAAGGCCATTCACTTCGTGGCCCAGGCGCCTCTGGTGGCGGCCATAGTGACGGTGCTGGGATGCGGGTCGTGCACAGTCTTCTGGCTCGCCTACCTGTCCTTGGACCTGTGGACGTTCTACACGCCGCTGAGACGCTGGATTCGCAACAACACCAGCATCGTGCTTCTGTTGCCGGCTTCGAAGGCGGAGGACGTTCACAGTGCTCACGCCTGCTCCACAGACGAACTACGCTGAGCGATATACGAAAAGATGGGACAGAAGAATCTAACACAGCCGTAATATTACCTATTTGAATATAAAAGATTTTCTCGCGATCACAAGACACGATTCTGCGCTGTTTCATTGCGGGCCGCGGTACTAAGTCATCGTTATTCCACCATCCCCATTCTAGGCAATAGCCGGTTCCCGAAGATAAGCTTCTCCAAATGCCATAGGCCGTAACACAGACTTCGTGGGCTGACAAGAACGGCCTGACAACACTCGCTACGTCAGTGCTCCTTTTCAGACATTTAATTTAATGTCAAGAAATTGAACTGCGACTTCGAGCAATACGCGCGGGTATTCTTGTTGTTTCTATTGAGAGTATAGACCGCGGACGTTAAGTGTTGCGACTAATAGCTGACATGGAGCTCGCAAATTATGTTTAGTGCTTTTTGTCCACTCGCTAATGAACAGAACTAGACTGGGTCGCGCGAACTTACCTAGGAAACCAGTCTAAGGTCGGCCTATACGTGCCATTTCTCCGCTGCCAGTCTGCGAGGGTTCGGCTGGCGTGGTGTGTTTTCCGTTGTGATGTCGTCCACACATCGCTTAGTTGACTCACTGGTGTCGTTCATTCTTGGAGGTCCGCTGGAGGTCTGTCCCTCGCTTCATCGCCAACTTCACGTCTCCTGAGGAGCTCGTTGCCGCTCCTGTGTCTGACAGCTGCAGGTTGACTCGTATTAGGGTAAAAAGAACCTCCGTTTGGCATGCCCCGATAGGCTCTGAGGAGCCGTCGCTGCCCCAGATGTAGTCTTTTTAACGGGAGCACGATTATGTTCGTCAAGCCTTGGACAGCCCGCTCAACTTTCTAGTCTATGGCGAATTCGGAGTTTTTAACTGCTACGGGCCCGCTGGTCACCCGGACGTAGGACTTGGTGCCAGAGGTCGGCATTTTAGATCTCCTCACTCACCCTCATACCGACACTCACCTAAGCCCCTCACTCACCCTCATCCTAACAGCTACATTCACCCTGAGCCCCTCACTAACCCTCATCCTCACAGTCACACTCACCCTCACTGAACCTCATGGCCCTCACGCCTTTCACGCTCTCACCGCCCTTACGCACTCATACCCCTCACGCACTCACGGTCCTCACAGCCCTCACACTCCTCACGCACTCACTGCCCTCACGCACTAAAACTAGTGATGCAATACTATCGATAAATTGACTTTCGATACTATCGATAGTTTTTCCAAAACTATCCAAAACTATCGATAGTGTCGCAGAATTATCAATACTCGACCATAGACAGTACTATCGATAGTTTTTTGATAGTCGACTTTCGATAGTACTACTTATAGTTCTTCGATAGTCGACTATCGATAATACCGATAGTCGACTATCGATAGTCGACTATCGATAGTCAAATTTTTGGCGACTATCGATACTATTGATAGTACTATTGATAGTGTCGGCGGTGTTCTACAAACGCCGGAGGAAAAATGCAGGCGTCCGAACCAGAGTTTTAACTAGAGTCAACTTCTTTCTCTTTATTTTCCTGGCTTCCAAGCCACGAGCGCTGGCAGAGGCTGGCGCTCGTGATAGCCAGCATTGGGAGCCTAGAGCATCTGTCTGTGTCACTAGGGAGTTTTCGTAGATCGTTTTGGCCTTTTCGCCACGCTATCCGCTACTCGCTACGAGACCCGCTAACAGAGGCATAGCGGAGGCTCAAAAAAGTGCTTCCGTAGACCGTTCTCTGCGGGCTACGGTACTGCGATTATGAAAGCGCCACCAGCGGTCGTAAAAAGTACTATATAAAACATTAAACGCATACTATTACTGCAACCACGTATTTGTTTTATCAGAGTGCCTCTTTTCGAACACAACACATGGTTGATTTACGATTATGATTGTTAATCTTTTTTTCTGGATAAATTCTTCGTAGCACTTCTTGCCAGCTTGCGGTAATCGCGTTTTGCTTAAAGCCAGATTCAGTTCGGCCAAGCCAATACTCTCTTTGTCATCTGGCGCTCTTTTAAAGGGATTGTCCGGTCGAAACCGGAAGTACTTAAGTTTTTGCGCTCGTTACGTCGAGGAGGCCTTCATGTGGAGGAACAACATTTTTATTTTGATATATGATCTTCCGTTATAAACTAAACCTTTCGTGAGCGTATGTACGAAACTGCACTCCGAATTTCGCCAGTGTCAATGGCTGACATCCGTAGCTGCTGCGTGACGTCACAAAACGCCAAAAAGTTTGTCGGATGGTCGGGATAACAAGCGTTGGTCGATGGATGTTTCGTATTTCGTTTCGAATTATATAGTCTCCTAGGTCAGTGGTTCTCAAATGGGGGTCCGCGAAGGCCTTCTATGGGTCCACGAAGCCCTGCCTCATCGGTCAAGCCCGGCAATAACAGTTGTCTTTTTTTTTTTTTTAGGTCGAAATGTTTGTTTTCGGGCGAGTTTTTTCGTGTGAACGTCAATAAGAGAGGTCTACTTCACACGAGCCCTTAGTTATATCCATTTAATAAACCATTATTATATTTACCCTATACCTTTCCTCTTCTCTCACCTCGAACGGGGTCCTCCATCATCTCCGCCGATCCACAAGGGGTCCGCGAAACATCGATGGTCGATAACCACTGTCCTAGGCTGTACCCTACTGAAATACGGTTCTTTTAATGCAGTTCCCAAGCGTGTGCAAAAAAAGTCACGCCTTTTGGCAGGATATTACTCGAAAACAGCCATAAGCTTCGAGCGAACGTATGCCGTTTCGCGCAAACACAATGCGACGGCCACCGACCGAATTAGGAGCGCTTGCAAAGCAAAGGATGCAGATTTCGCCTCTGAAGCGGCAACTAGGTACACAAAGCGGTATTTGGGTACACATTTCGGCGGATCCACTGAAGTGGTAATGAGGCTGCGGGTCTTTTCCCTCAGAGGCGATGACCGCGGGTCGAAGGCGACCGGCGAATCGTTCAAATGCTTGTCGTCACTTGACTTGGACGAGCTTGGTGAATGGTAGCCACACTCTATTTGCACATGCGAGCCAAACAGAATTTGGCTGCACGCGTGCTAAATACAGGGTGTCACAAAAGAAAATTTACACGGTCTTTTTTACCGCAAAAATAAACTAGACATCGCCAAACGCTCATTCTCCGCCCAAAGGTAGAGCTAGAGGTCACAACCAGATGCCAAAGTCTCAGCCCGATCCGATAAGTTAATCAAAAGTTATAAGTGATTTTCTGAAAATTTCAATGGGAAAATGGAGGCCATTTTTGCCCGTTTTCGGTTTCTGGTGCCATAGAGCCCCATGTGTTTGAAAACTCCGTCGGCCGCCATTTTCCCATTGAAATTTTCAGAAAATCACTAATAACTTTTTATTAAGTTATCGGATCGGGCTGAAACTTTGGCATCTGGTTGTGACCTCTAGCTCTACCTTTGGGCAGAGAATGAGCGTTCGGCGATGCCTAGTTTATTTTTGCGGTAAGAAAGACCGTGTAAATTTTCTTTTGTGACACCCTGTACAACTCCTGGTATCGTTTCCAGGTGGTCTAGCTGTTGGTTTCGGTTTCGCTGCATAAACAAATTGATTGACCCGATTTGGGCGAGGAGTGGATGGACGTAGCTTCATATCGTTGGCACAGCATCACACCTCAGCTTACGAACCTTCTGTCCGCTTAGAGCTCAGCTCGTAGCTCTCTTCTGTGAGATGATTACTGCAAAAGCGGGGTCTCGATCTTGACGGGAACCCAGTCCCTACGCACGGCGACGATCCACTTTGCTCGTCACTGCACGTCTCGCGGAAAAGTGCGGAACGTCATGTCTTGGCTCGCATGTGCTGCCCAGTGGTTGTGGCACGCAACCGCGCAACACAAATCTCACCCAACCACGAAACAAGTCAAGCACAGCAACAAAAACGAAGCACGCTGATGCGTTCACTCGCAGGTAAACGACGAGACAGAAATGCTCGTTGTTGTAAGCGCTTTATTGACCAGAGTACAGGGTAAAGGGAATAGGGAGTGCGTCAAGTTGCTCTTGGCTTGGACGCTGGTACATTGGGCCATAAGGGAAGGGATGAAACACTTAAGAGGTTGTGGGAAAGGGGATACTTTTAAACAAAAAAATTAGCAGTAGGCGTCGATGCCCGCCTCGAAGATGAACTTAAGCAACGAGTTTAGCGTCTTTTTTCTTGATTGGTCACAAGGACCTGGTGGGTGAGTCCACCCCTCTAGTGCAATAATTTCCGTCGGTTTGTGTTTGCGTCTGCATGCCTCTAGTCCGGGACAGTCCCAGATGAGGTGTGTTTGGTCGGTTTGGTCGGCCTTCTTCGTTTTGTCGTTGCAGAAATTGCATCGGCCTTGGTTTGAAGAGGATGGGGATCGCGACCATGAGGCTATTCGCGCTGGCGTACATGTTGTGCTTGTTTGTATTCTCGTTAGAATAATTTTTTCTCTTCGGCCGAAACCTCGAGGAATTGTTCCCGGTGCGTCTGGGAGGAGCTCTCTGAGTTTCTCCCTACACTCGAGCTTGACAAGTTGCCGCTCTTCTTCCGGGTCATAATTAGTCTCCATTTCTCTGGCACGATCTCACTCTATCGGAGGCCGCGCGTAGTCATGGTTTGTTAAGTGTGGAATCTCACGTCTGGACTCGCAGAGGAGAGACAGAAGAGACGCGCGAGCCAGTGCGTGAGCATTCTCGTTGCCCTCAATTCCCATGTGTGCGGGAACCCAGGATATCTTGGTATTGGTGCCCAGCTGTCGAAGTTCACCGATCAATTTCTTTATCAGCTTCACCTTTCTGCTGGCGCTTGATCTTTTGCCGCATTCCGAAATAGCTTCGGCTGAATCCGCGAAGATGCGGATGTCTTGCGGCGTCGCTGCTTCTGTTTTCCGTAGGTCCCTGACAGTTTCGAGTGCTAGGGAAATTGCGGAGAGTTCCCCACCCTTGACAGTTGTCCCCTTGGGAAGGAGTTTGAATTGCGTCTTGCAGAGTCTGGGTATGACTACTGCAGCACATATATCATTAGCACCGGCATCATGCGCCGCGTCCGTGTATATTGCCAGGATCTTCGAGGGGTCTTCCCAGCATTGGACCATCTTATGATGGGCCTTTGCTAGCCTTTCTCTTCTTGCCTGGTTCTGCGGGTTCGCGTTCGCTTGCGTTGTTGGCCTTCCGTCCGTGATGTCGAGATGCGATATCCACGGCGGATTCTCTCTTGGTAGTGAAGGCAACGTGTACGCCATGTATGCCATGTTTGTTTGTCCTAGTATGCCTCTCCCGGCAGCTGTGTGTTTCAGCCGCTCCATGTGTGCCTTCTTTCTTGTCTCCACCGTTTCCCGCATGGAATTGAGTTGGGCGTATTGTCGTAGCTTGTTTAGGGGAGTGAATCGCGGCAGACCCGTGATCACCCTCTTGGCATGATTGTTTAAAGTCTCGAGCTTGGGCCACTGGCGTTTTGTCAGTTTGAAATGTTGTGCGCCGTAACACACCCTTGAAACAAATAGTGCCTTGACCATTCGTCGCGCTACTTCTTCCGATGCTCCGCCTTGTATTGAGCAGATTCGTCTGATGATTCCCAGCGCCGCGTTGCAACGTTTCTGTGTTGCATTGATCCATTCCTCTGCGCTGCCAGTGTCCTCAAATGTGACTCCGAGGATTGTGATGGTCTGTGAGGGTTGGATACGTTTCCCATCTAGCGACAGAACGATCCTATTTTTGACGTCCGCTATTATTTGTTTTCTTGAGGCCACTACCATATACGTAGTCTTTTCTGAGGACGCTTTAAGACCAACCTCGTTGAGATGGGAATCGACAGCATCGAGTCCGCTCTGTAAGGTGGATTGTTGCGTCGTTAGGTCTCCGTGGGTAGTCCAGATCGTCACGTCATCAGCGTACACTGTGAACTTCAGGTTGGGGATCTTGTGAAGTAGCTTCGGTAAATTGGCCATAGCTATGTTAAAGAGGAGGGGTGACAGGACGGAGCCCTGTGGTACTCCGACTCCGTTTCTCGCCGGTGCGCTGGTGAAGTCTCCGGAGCGAATGGAGTATGTTCGGTTTTCGAGAAACGATTTATTAAAGTTGAGTGCCCGGCCGTGTACTCCCAAGTTTATCGCCTCTCTGATGACTGAAGCATGGGGCACGGAATCGAATGCCTTTCGAACATCGATTGCTACAATGGTTTTTGTATCTGTGCCTATACTCGTTTGCACCTTAAGAACCGAAGTAAAACAAGTCCGGCTGGTGGCGGAGTGTTCTGGGTTTCCACCAATGAAATGCCGCGATATCGCATAGACTTAACCACTCTCCGTCGGGAGGTGGTGGGATCCACAATTAGAGACCGAAACCAAAACGAATTTAGCAGTGCAGCATCTTCTAGTGGCAAAAAGCTTGAACATATCTCGTTAAATAGCGTTTGTTTCTGATAAACATGCTTATGCTCTGCACAATTTTGCATCGCTTCTTTAAACTGTCTTCAATAAACATATCTTTGTATATCTAACAATGTTTATTTCGTCGGCTTTCTAAAAACACTATGAGAAAAAAATCAGAATGTGCCAGTTTTAGCGCATTTACAGTTTTTAACGGCAACCATGGAGCACTAAAGCAAAAAGATCAGCTGGCTGCTGACATCATCGACATCGCCGCAAACTTGATGAACTGGGATTGATCAGACCTGCTACCAGCCACGAACCTATGTTTGCATAGTTTATTCTGTCCTAATATACCTTTGTTTACGTTATTGCGTTGCCGTTCATGTGTATGTATTGAGTGGGCAATCGGTTTCCTTGTGTGTCGCGGTGAATTTCAATTTTTATTCTTTAATTCCGTTTTCTTAAGTTCCGTGGTGTGGGGATGGTGGTACAAATCCTGATTATAAGCAGAAACAGCGTGGTTGATGTGAGATACGTTCTTCCAGGGTCCCATCAAAGCTTCTGCTTGTTGCCAGAGTGGCACTGTGTGAGGATGGCGATAAGAATCCCGATTATAATCTGAGACAGCATGGTGGATGAGAGATACGTTTATTGCCAGAGCGACCCTAAGGCATGTGGATGGCATTTTGTGAGTTTACTTTCCCACAAACCGCCTGGGGAACTGATCACTGCAATAAAGGAGTTATCTCAATGAAAGACTAGGCTGAACATGATGTTTAGACCTCAAAATGAGGTGTAAGCGACACTGAATATGCATGAGGTGAGCAAGTGAAATGTTAAGCTCAGGGTCACATTTCAGAACAATGGTCGACTTTCGGCATGCCGCCAACACTTCGTCTTCTTTCTGTGGTTGAAAACGACCCTTAAAGTGTAATTGTATGCATATATGTTTAGAATACAAAAGGGCAAAATAGCGCTGACACCTCTGCTGTAATGGGCAAATTAGTGAGTGCAGTACAACTGGAATTTTTTTTTTTTTTTTGTAGTGTGAATCTTTGTACACAATGGGATACATACAGCTGATTTCAAAGACCTCGAGAAGCCATGAACAAGGCTATTACGTAATGAAAGGTAGAATCACGACAACAACATGACACTGGCGGTTAGGCGTGTGTGAAGTCGGGAATCCGATTTTGCAGTATGTGAATGGTCCTTAAAAGGGCCGCTCTGTGTTCTGGGGTATGACAAACAGAGTCCAAAGTTCTAGCCACTTTCAGAAGAGAACATGTCCTAGGGGGACATTAGTTCACGGTCAATTCCATTCTAAAGGCTCAACACCAGAGATCTCTTCACCCTCATCCTCGTCGTCAGTTTCGTCGTCGTCTCCACTCTCCTCCTCCGTGTCGCTTGCATCGAGGGGTATGATGACTGGCTCGAGGTTCGACTCTGGGACATCATATTCTCGAAACTTCGCCTCCATTTTTTTCACATGCTCTACACAGTCATGCCAATGGACAGCTGTTACGTTGTCCACTGCTTCCCTCAAGAGCCGCTCGGCGTCATTGGGCTTGAATGTGATGTTCTTGGAGGTGACCTCCTGCTTGACTCGTGCCCATATCAACTCTATGGGATTTAGTTCGCAATGGTACGGTGGGAGCCTCAACACTGTGTGTCCGGCGTCCGTAGCTATGACGTCGACTTTGTACTTTGTGTAGCGATCCTTCACCATCGCCACGATGCTCAGAAGGTCTTTTTTCTTCATTGTGGCAGTCCAGTTTAGGTTCTTGGAAGAGAGCCACTGCTGGATCTCGCCCTTCTTTGTTGCAGTTGTGGGAACAGCTTCAGCCTTTCTGCTGTGGTATGGCGCGTTGTCTATAACAATTACGCTGTTAGGCTCGATGTGGTCCAGCAGATGAAGAAACCATGCTTAAAACCTGTTCGAGTCCATTTCATCGTGGTAGTCCCCCTTCTTCCCACGGAACACGTCCAGGCAGCCGGACACGAAGCCAGTGTCACTACCTGCGTGGGTGACAATCACTCTTTCACCTTTTCCAGAAGGAACCTTTAGCCCGGTCGTCAGTCCAGACATGAAGGCTTGCCTTGCTGACTTTATGGTACTGTCAGTCCACACCTTGTCAACGGTGAGGCCGGCGTTCACACAAGTCTCGTCCTGAAAGTAGATCTTGCGGTTCTGGGCTCTGTGCTTTCTGATTGCCCTCAAATACCGCCGCATCCTCTCGACGATGTCCTCTCTCTCAATCAGGAAGGAGTTGCAATTCCGTTTCTGTTTCTCGAAACCCATGTCCTTCAGCAGGCGATACAGCTAGACCCGGAACAGGGCGGCAACACACCGTCTTCTTGGAGACGAGCGGCAATTTTCTTCAACGTTGGGATCTCCCCTCGACGGAAGAAATTGTGCAGGCAGCTTCTCACGGCCGTCAAAGTGCACGCGTCGTGATTTGAAATCCTCTTCCTTTTCTCGGCGAATTTCGGGCGCTTCTTTGAAGGTGATTTCACAGCTCCGTTGGCACGTTTGAAGACACGCTTGATCTCGTAGACCGAGCTAACACTGATCCCCGTTGCGGCGGCCAGTCAGGTTGATGACTTCCACCACATTTTTTTCTTGGTACTGCCGCCGCATCCAAGAATAAACGTGCAAAACACACTGCCTTGTCTGGCTCGACAGGACATTTCCACTTGCGTGACGTTTGTAGTACACCCGAGGGGTAACGTCTTCAGGAAGGAGTGCTGACATCACAGACCGATCAGCCAGAGCAGTTGGAGTCGCCATTTTGGAAGGCGAGCAACAGCGGCTGGCCGGCTGGCTACGAACATCGATCCTCAGATCTTGTGAGGCGATGAATTACGTGAATACACGCGTATACTATAGAGGTGTATTATTTATCCTACTGAGAATAACAAATTTATTTAAGCTTAGATAACGCTAGCATCCCATAGAGCAAACCTTTATCGGAACTACTTCGCAGAACGGAATAATATGTGCGACGGCATGCGACCAATAAGCATGCGACGAGAGGGACACACCAACTTTTTTCTTAAGGTGAAAACGGGTATAGTGGCTTGTCTGTCTTGGACATGTCTCTTGAAATAAAGAATAAGCTTTCCTGTGTACCCATGTTGGCTCGAAAGCCGGTTTGGGCAGGGTGGAAGGCTTTGGTGTTTGTTTCCAGGTACCAGTTGAGCCTGTCGAGGACCATACGTTCCATGAGTTTCCAAACACATGGCGTTAACGAGATGGGCCTGTAGTTGGCAAGGACTGTGTGATCTTTACCCGGTTTCGGGATTGGTATAACTATTGAGTGCTTCCATTCGGTGGGGATCTCCCCACGTTCCCACACTTCGTTGATTTTCTCAAGGAGGGCCTCTTTCGTTTCCTGTGGCAGGTTTCTGAGCATTTGTACTGTAACTTTGTCGTGGCCGGGTGCTGTCCGCTGTTTGCCGCTTGTGAGGGCTGTTTGTAATTCGCCTTTAGTAATGGGTGAATCCATTCTGTCGTCAGGAGACAGCATTTCACGTTCGTAGCATCCCGTGTCTTGGCAGTGGCTATGCTGTGGGAAAAAAAGATTTCCGGCTTCTTTCGCCATTTCTTCTTCTGTCTTGTTCGCTCTAAGCGTCATGGCCTTGGGAGCTTTTTTATTCTTTTTGCCCATCATGGCTCTGCAGGTTGCCCATAACGCAGTTATGGACGTTTTCTCCGAGAGAGAGGCGCTGTAGTTTAGCCACCGTTGGCGCTCTAGACGCTTCGCGTAATACCTGGCTTCGATCGTTATTCTGGTAACCTTTCTGCGACCGTACACCGCTTCGGGTCCCTTCCTGTACGTTTGAAGTGCTTGCAGCCGCTTTGCTTTAGAAGATAGAGATCGGGTACCGGAATGTCCTCGTCTGCCTTCTTGATTATGGTGGCAATCTTCAGGGCGTCTGTGAGGCGCTTTTCGAAAGGGTTGTCGTCCTTTCCTAGTGAAGTAAGTGCTTTTCTGTACTCGTCCCAGTTCACCGTCCGCGTGACTCTCTTGTTATTTACGTCCTTTCTTTTTTTAGTTAGTGACATCTCCACAAAAATCGGGAAGTGATCGCTGCCCTATGCGTCTGGACCGCATTTCCACTTTTGGTGTTTCACAAATTTGTTATTTGCCCACGTCAGATCCGGAGACGTATCCTGACTTTTAGGCCCCAGTCCGGTTCGCGTCTTTACGCCTTCCTTGTCCATTAACGTCATGCCGTGCTGCGTCATCTCCTCATAAAGTTCTTTGCCTGTCTTGGAACTCTTCCTGTAGCCCCACGCTTCGTGCTGATGGTTAAAGTCCCCGCAGTATAGTTTTTGATCTTTTGGATATGTCTGGTGCAGATGGGCAATCCAGCCGTTCCAGAAATCCGAAGGTTTCGTTTTCCTGTTCGGTCTATAATAGGCCGACACTAGTATGATAGCCTTCTTTTCGATCTCTGTTCGTATTGCGACGACTTCTTGCTCGTCATTGCACCACCGAGAGAGATCGATTTGGTGATGTGGACAGGCATGGCTTATGAAGATCGTCGATTTTCCTGGTGCGCCACCCTTCTTGTCCGTGATAGTGGGCGTTGAGTACACTGCGTATCCTCTGATACATGTCAGGGTCGTGTTAGTTTCCTGCATCAGCAGAACGTCCGTACGATCTTGTGATCTTCATGAAACCGCGCGTTGAGCTCCGCCGCCCGAAGTCGGAGCCCTCGGCAATTCCACTGCACGACCTTGATCATCTACGGGGATGCGGTAGCCTTAAGTTCGGAGAGTGCCCCTCCGAAGAACTTTTGAATGAAGTTTTGTGTCTGTTGCTGCTGTTGCTGCATTTGCTGAAGCATCTGTTGCTGCTGCTGGAGTTGCACTCTCCATTGTTCTTGTTGAACGACAAATGCTTGTAGAGTTCCTTTCAGAGCTTGCAATTCTGCGCGAATTGATTGGTTTTCTGCTTCAGCCAGGCTCCTACACAAGACGTTGGCGTAGGAGCTTGCCAATGAGGTTGGGCTTGGGTTTTTGTCGGGAACCGTTGTCTGCGGCGTCGCAGTTGGTGCTGCAGGAGCTGCTGTCTGGTTACTCGACAGGTCTGATACAGGGTCGATACGAGCTCCAATCTGCGATGATCGAGATTGTGCTTTCATTGCCTGGATGGATGCTCTCATCTTCCTGTTATTTTCTATTCTCGTTGCGCAATTCTTTCCGTATATATATAGCGAGATGGCCTTCCTTTTTGCATTGTTTACAGTAGGTCTTGGGATCCGGGCATTCGCTTTCGCTCGTGTTCGTGTCCATTCCTTCTCTCGAGTGTGTCCTTTCGCATCTGGCGCAGACAGGGTCTTGAACACAAATGTCTGGCCTGTGCCCCGTACGGTGGCAATTCGCGCAGACTATCGTTTTGGGCTTGAACGGGTACAGTGGAGCGTGGTACCTGTTGAATAGTATGGATCGAGGCAGTTTCTCTCCTTCAAAGGTGATCGCTACAGTCTTGGTGTTGCCCATGCGTCTTGCTGCCACCACCGGGACTTGTTTTGAATCGACGAGGTCAATAAGAGATTCTGCCTCTCCTGTTATATCGGCGTCATAAATGACTCCTTTAGTATGTTTATTTCAGTAGGCTTGGTACGTGCTGACTTCAATTTTTTCCCCTTTCGCATTCTCGTAGGTGTAGTTCTCCATTATTTTCTGGAGGACCTCCTTTGAGTCTGTGCGTATGGATATGGTATTCGACTTGGGAAAGTATTTGAGAGTGATATCCTTACGTTTAATTTCCAGTGTCTTCTCAAGGTAGCCTAGTATTTCGAGTTTCCACTCTCCCATGGGTGTCTTGGATTTTGGGCGAATTCTGACCTCCTTGAGATGTTCGTTTGGTTTTTGTGTATCTGGCTGCTGTTCCCTTCTGGATCGCTTGCGCTTGTTTGTAACTTTGATGAAGCCGTCGTCGTCGTTGTCCGCGGCGTTTTCATCCTGCCCACCCTGCGTTGTGTCCTTGCCACGTGGTTGCGGCTGCCGCAATGGCTGCTGCTCTTCGGGTGGGTTTGCGTCATCCTCCTGCTGGCGTGGCGTTGATATAGACTTCGCAAGACTCTCTTGCGTAGGCGTAGCGCTAGGCTTCGCGTTCGAGGTGGGAGAGTCTTTGACCGTTTCCGTTTCCTTGAGAGTTTTCTATCTTTTCCTCGAAGTTTTCTTTTTCGCGGTGATTTCCGTAAGGAGGCCCAAGATCTTCGTGATGAGATTTTCTTGAGATTCCTCTGCTAGAAGCGTCGCAAGGATGCTTCGTAGTTGACGGTGTTTTTCTGAGACTGTTGTGGGCTGATCATTGTCCTCGCTTTCCGCGAGGTTTCTGGCCAGGTCCACGGTCGTCTTCCGTTTTCTTGCTCCCCCCTGCAGGGTTTCATCGCTACTTTGTCCGCAGTCCATTTCATGCATCTCATGTGCTGCGTCGGCATCGCATACTATCTGGTTAGGCTTACCTTCCCCTTGGGGAGAAACCGTGTCCATCAAGCTGGGCGATGTCGTCGAGCGTCTGGAGGCGTAATGCTTGCTGAAATTACCGACCAGGCCGTAAACTCTCTGGTTCTCGGCCCCCTTCCAGACCGGCAGATAGAGATTTTGCAAACTAATCAGGAAAATAAGCAGAGCTCGAAAAAGGACGTCTACAGGGTGTCACAAAAGAAAATTTACACGGTCTTTTTTACCGCAAAAATAAACTAGGCATCGCTGAACGCTCATTTTTCGCCCAAAGGTAGAGC